AGCCCGACAAACCAACCTAAATCTAAAGCTCCATTTCTGAACAGAGCTAGTGCCCGGTTACATGATTATTGGAAAACAAACACCCCACACTTGTACAAAACTGCGCGAAACTGTAAATTAAGCAAAAAAGAAAAAAACTAAGGATTCGATCTGGAGTTTGAGACTGGAGTTCCTATCCAAACATCACTCCCTCTGCATGCGTGACCAAATTGGTGTCCATTCCAAAAAAAGAGAAGGGGCATGTGGTGCAACAGCTCGCGCCGCCTATAGCAATTTCAATTTCTGCAGGAGCAAGAAATCCCCTGGGTGCGTAAACTATCCAGTCCCTTTTACATCCATATTCCTTCTTACTACTGCAGAAATTCGTATGACTGTAGGCGGCAGGAATGTTCCACTATATGCAAACCACCCTTTATTGTAATAGACTACCAAATTGCTTCGAGAAAAACGTCTTCGCAGCCATTGAACAAATCAGAGCCGTTCAATACTGTCCACTACGAATTACTCGTAATCACGAAAGCAAATAATTCCGTTTCTAACTGCATGTCCTGGGCTGATATACAATACCTGCTGTACTTGCAGAACCACACTTAAAAGGAAGCCTACTCATACATAAGTGAACAAGCCGTTTTTAGCTAAGAACTTTAGATGAACTTTTTCCATTCCACAGTCGTGTTATGTCCAGCACTGATAAGAACCATAAACATTCAGAAAATGGAATTGTCATGTGATGGTGTAAAAAAGGAGATTTTATATGCAAAAACAAGCCGACGTAATTAGGGCTACACATAACCATGGAAACCACTACATGTATATGCAGGAACTTCCACTAACTGCAACTTCTTTGCTACACGCTCACATTCGGAAAACAAAAGCTAACTTTTGCAAATCGTGGCAAAAAGTAGAGGGCACGGTTGCAGAGAGGACTGTTGGAGAACGTTTGCTGACTACTCATTTATTGTTGTTTTTGTTTGGTTTTAATAATAAACTCATGAGTGAACTAAAGAGGGCGGATTTTGCTCACTTAATAATTGGAAAGTGATCCCATTACAGAGAGATGCTCAATTTTTTTTCAATTCTAATGTAAACTCAGCTGGGAATTCCCGTTTCAATTTTTCACCATATAACGATCAGATATTTCAAAGAATCATAGCAACATTAATATGGAAAACCACTAAAACCGTAAGCAACACGGAAGCACCGTAGGCGAAGGCCATAATAGGTGGTTCCCAAAAAAGTTAACTTCTCTAATGCACTGAGCGCAGAGAAGGTCGGACACTTGTTAAGATTAAAAATATGCAGTCGTGAAGCATTACGAGAGTATTGAGCCTTTTTCAATAAACTTTGGATCATCACAACATTTTTAAATTGCTAACATGTTAAATAGTTGGGTGGGGAGTGTTCTGTCCTAACACCAATCCGGAAGCAGCTCTCCCTCATTTGAAAAATAGGGACTGAAACCGGCTTAAATCAAGTCGCCCCAACCGAAATACTTGTAAGTACCGATAAATAAGACGCTCACAGATATTGTTTGGACACCTGAGGACACAATTTTTGAGTCTATCACAACTAAAAGGTATGCTATTCTTTAGGAGCAGTTTCCTTACCAACTGGAACTCCTAACTCTTAATTTCACTAGTTATTATTGCCTTCCTAAAAAGCCAACCAATTGGTATCGACTGCAGATCTTTGATTCGACAAACTTTCGCTGCCTTAATCGTGAAAATCTCAATCCCGGAAATGAAGCAGAAAACGGTCTATCCCCCAAAACATTGTATGGTTGAAAAACACGGACTAAAGGAAAGCTACTATTCATATTTGGAATAAAATGAAGCAAAAATATTCGAAATCGAGGATTAGTCCAAGATGGTCTAGGAGAGCAGCAAAAGACATAAAGGCGTACAACTGCACGCGATCTTGATGAAAATAATTAATCAAAAAACTATCGACCATTTATTACATCAAAAAACGGACCCACAAAGGATGACAGAAATGCCAACAAGAATGAATAAAAAAGATGAGCTGGCTTGAAGAATATCATTGGGAACCACCTGGGCAATAGTTAACCCATGAAAAATGATGGATCTTTGATGACAACAGAAAACGCAGAAAACCACTTAGAAATATGGCCTATTCCACCCAAAAATGGCGAAATTTCACAAACCCCGTTGCCCGCTTTATAATCGAAAAACGTACGCACGACGAGGACACGAAATAAAAACACAAAAAGTTGAAAATGATGATAATAACGAACCTCTCATGTGCGTGAAGTGAAGTGTTTTGTACGGATACAGGTAGAGAAGTCGCGAGACGTGAATCGATTCAACCGCTCACTTCCTCTCCCTCTCTCTTTCTTTCCTATTCTCTTCCTTCTAACCGCACTCTTATCGGCCGTGTAGACGAGAGACCGCGTAGAGCGAGGAGGAGATGAACGACAGGGTCCAGCCCCCAGTCGACGAGCGAACACACGATGGAACGGGAGGAATGAAGTCGACGACCGAGAGAGCATGCCCGATCACGAGGCATGGAAGAGAGACGGAGGAGGATGACCAGCAGCATCGCCGCCGCAGGCATCGATCACGCCGCGCGCGGTGGGATGATCTCTGGCACGGCGCCGCGCACGCACAACTCGTCCACGGCTCAAATCTCGTCCTGTGCGGCACATCCCAAATCCTTGAATTGTTCCGTGTTTCTGAAGACATCACAGGCACTGTGTTTCATACAGTAAGGGGGGGGCATGTGGTGCTCCGGTTGCTGCCAAGGAAATTCCAGTTTTTGCAAGAAGGGGAAGCCCCCGGAGTGGGTGAACCATTTCGCATCCGTTTATGCACCATTCCTAGAGTTTCCTTCTCTCGCAAATAATTGGATTACCTTAGGCGATATAAGCTGTCGCACAACGTGCTCCCACCCTTCCTCTTTACTGAATGAGATCCGGTGCTATACAAGTAGGGTGGGCACGCCGCATTTTTTGAACAGAAATGTATGTAAGTGGGACTGCTGCCCGCTACTATACTGTCACGAGAATCGGGGAATTCGTGAGCCAGGGGAGTGTAGCCAATCTAGGGGGTGGGGGTGAGGGCAGTCACTTGACATGCGTGAAAAGCTGGGCGTGCCCACCCCACTTGTATAGAGCCTGAGATCCAAGCATTTGTGAGGCTCCCACATATTTTTCGGGGTGAACTATTTAGGCCAAGAAATAGAAAAATCAGAGGGCAACTTCACCTGAGCTGCACTTCACAAAG